TTACAGTGGCACAAGATGTGGTCCAGATTTACAGATCTGTTTTTTTTTTTTTTTTTTGTATCTGTATATTTATGAGCTTGGGAAGAGAGAATGGCCTGCTGACTTTTTTTTTTTTTTCCAAAGCAATTGTGACACCTACCTGTGGACCAAGGAAAAAACCAAATCATCCCAAATCCTTCAGTTCCACACCAACACTATCACATTGGAAAAAATGAGTCTATTTGAAACGGATCCACCTCTTTCCCATCTTCAGATCTGTGATTAGTCATTTTGCCTAGTTGTAAAGTAACATAATTTTAAAGATTCTGAGAGAACTGCAGTCCAGGCATTTGGACACAGGGTAAGGCAGGCCTGGGAAAAGACTAGCAAGTCTCTTCAATCTTACTGTGCAACCAACATCTACAACAGTATTTTGAGTTTAATTTCAGTAGCAATCATTCATCAGAATAGGTGTTCATTGTGTGTCTATCATAGTAAACAAAAAGAAAGAAAGAAAGAAAGAAAGAAAGAAAAGAAAAGAAAAAAAAAGAAACTGTTTCAACCAGACATACAGATGCCCAAATTTAATCGTCTATTTTTCAGGAAAAGCAACAGCCTTACTGACACTTGGAATATAAATACTGATGCTTGGAATACACACACACACACACACACACACACACATATTCAAATTCCAAATAAAGGACTGATTCTTCAAAACAGAAATGGAGCAGAAAAGAAGAAACTCGTGAAGCAGAATGAGGATTCCCTCTTAAAGGGAAAAAGACCCAGAAGCCTGCACTGCTCTGACCCCATGACAAGAAGCAAGAAAACATATTAAGGGATCATACAACCAGTTGGGGCTGGGAGGCTCCCCAGGGGGTCAGAGAAGCACGGGGATGCCCACTTACTTTGCACTGCTGAGCTGGCCCTTCTATAGGTAGGGCTGGACGCCTGCGCCAACCACCGTGCAGCCCTCGCTGGCATCTGTCAGGGGAGGGCAGTTAGTGAGAACCTAGCCCCACCATCCATAGGATCGCCTAGCCACGCACCTTCCAGACCCTCCAGCCTGGCATCCAGGCCCGCACAGGGCGGCCAGACCCGGCCTTCATGGCCACTGAGACAGATGTTGGCTATTTCACTACGTTCCCCTTGCTTTCTTTCCTTTGGACCTCCTTTCTCAGGTTGCCTGAATTATGAGCAACTGAGGCAATCTGGAAATGGGAGAAGATAGGGGAATGTTTTCATTTTCTAAATTGAAGAAATTGGGCCTCTGAGAGAACTGAGAACTTTTCTTTTTCCTTTATCCAAAGGCAGGGAAGGGGATTCAGCGAAGACCCTACTTAACCAGTAGCACTCACCAACACACCCAAGCTTAAGCTTAGTCAGCAGGGAGACAAGCTGTAATTTGCATTTTGAGGCAATAAGTATTTGCCAAAACTAAAACGGTCATGATGATAATATTAATAGTAAATTAAATAAAGAGTAAATAATCACAGGGTAGCTCTAGAGGGAAGGCCCAGCCCTCTTCCTTTCACTCTCAACGCTCCACCCCCACCGTCTTTCCCTAATTCCAAAGAGTAGCTCAACCTTCTTGCTTTACTCCTGTAAGAGGCACCCACTTCCAGAACTGTTAAGTGGTGGACTCCCCCCGCCCTTTCCCCAGGATTCTGGGCAGTTCTAACTAACCAGGGTCCCTTCCTCAGCACCCAGAGGGCGTCGGGCAGCCTACCTTTCTTGGGCTCGTAGCCGCCGCCGGGGGTCCGGTAGTGCTGCTCCAGTGGGTGCGCGCCCGCCTTGCCCGCGTCGCTGGCCGCCTTAGGCGCTGCGTGCAGAGTCTCGCCGGGGGCCGTGGCCGCCGCATTGTACCGCAGGAGGCCCTGGCCCTGCAGCGCTGCGTTCAAGTTCCCGTAGTTTGTGTAGCTGCCATAGAAGGGCGTCATATAGTAGAGGTGGCGGCCGAGCAGCGGCGAAGCCGGGTAGGGAGAACCGCCCGGAGGTGCGCCCGAGGAGGCGGGTGCCGCAGCCGCTGGCAGTCCCGGTGGCCCGCAGCCCGGGCCCAGGCTCGTTTGCTTGAGGTCCGATGTGGCGATCTCGGCCAGCGACCACAGCTTGGGCTTGCTGGTGGGTGGCTGTGCACCAGGTGACGTCCGGCTGCCCAGGGGCGTCTTGCCGCCGCCGCCGCGGGGCGCTGCATCGGGCGGAGGGCTCAGCAGCGGCGCCTCCAAGCCTGTAAGTGGGGACGAGGTCACAGGCTTGGGCGGCGCCAGGTCCCGCTCACACTCGTCCTCCTCATCTTCGTCGTCCTCCAGATCGTCGTACTTGTCCTTGCTCTCCGAGCCGGACTCGCACAGGGGGTCCCCGGGACGGCACGGCAGTTTCTCTCCATCTGACTCGGCTGAGCACGAGTGATCCGTGAGCGAGTCGACGTGCAGGCTGATCCCTGCCAGGCGCGGGCACAGTGGGTGACTCGCAGGGACAGTGCAGGCAGCCAGAACATCACCCCACCCCTGGGATCCCTCACCTAGCCCCAACCGCAGCCACGTGTGAAGGGGACTCTGACCTCCCCTAAGTGCTCGGAGGAATCCCTAGGCCGAATTCGCGGGCCAAGCAGTGTTAGGCCGCCGCTTTCCGGGCCAGGATTTGGGGTTTCACGAGGGAGGCATCCTACCAGACCTCGCACTGCGCCCCGCCTGGGAAGAAAGTCCCCTAAGACCTCGCGCCCGCCGCGGCCCAGCTCACCTTCGTCCTCGGCAGAGGTCTCCGTGCCCTCCTGCACCTTCTCGGGACTCTCCTCCTTGCTCCTAGCAGCGTCGCCCTCATCCTCATCCTCGTCCTCGCTTTTGTTCCTCGGGGCCCACGTCATCTTGTTCTCCTTCTTGAGGCGCCGGCGCGCGTTGGCGAACCAGGTGGAGACCTGCGTGAGGGTCATCTTGGTGATGATGGCCAGCATGATCTTCTCGCCCTTGGTGGGGTACGGGTTCTTGCGGTGCTCGTTCAGCCAGGCCTTGAGCGTCGCTGTGGCGTCCCGCGTGGCGTTCTTGCGGTATGCCGGGTCGTTGAGCTGGTACGGGTAGGCCGCGCTGCCATATGGGTGGTAGCTGATGGCGCCGGTCATCCCAGTCGTGTGCGCGTCGTAGGGCGCGCCCTGGAAGCGAGGAGACACTGTGAGTGCTGCCCGTGGAGACCCAGCCGCTTCATCGTCCAGGCGAACCGCTGCGCCCCCCCCCCCGCCCCGCCCATCCACGGCAGCCCTTCCTCCTCTGGTTCTCCCGCGCTTGGGTCGTGCTTCCCTGCAGCAAAGGAGCAGGGACCACGCAGTGGAGGACTTAGGGCGGTTGTTGATCACAAAAAGTACTTTAGTGTTATTTTCGAATTTATGAACTCCTTCACTTTTCTAAAACGATATACCTTCCCCTAAATGTTTCCGAGCCGCCAGTACAAAGTACACAAACAAGAGCGCCCAAGCGCTCAGGCCTCCAGGTAGTTTCTTGATAACTAAATTTCTCCGAATGCTTCGAGTGCTGCCCCCTCCCTGCACTCCCCCTTCCCGCCCTTATATGGTTAAAAATAACACCCCAGAGCCCCCACTCCACTATTCACCGCTCTAAAGCTCGGTAAATCCAATTTGCAACTCAGAAGCCAGTCACCGTTTCGAATTCTTCAAATACGCGGTAATTAGCATTTTAATTCACCCTTTAACGTTTAAATTCAAGACGTTTGCAGCCTTCGCTAGGCCTCAGCTACTCAGTCGCTGCCCTGGAATTCCACCGAGGGCGAGTTGTGGCTACAACCCGGGTTAGGGCCTCATTTGCCCGAAAAGTGTTTCAACCCGGTCCGGGCCCAGCTGCGCAACCCAGAGGCGCGCGGGCCGACGCCGCGGAAGCAGGAGCCGCTCTCGGTGCACGGAGGACTCCGGGTCCCATGCCGGCCAACACGTTTTTCGAAAGTACGGTCTGGGAGGCAGATTAAGGCCAAAATTAGGGCGCGTCGGGCCGGGCGCTGGAACCGCAGCCAGATGCTCTGTTCTCTTCCAACTCTGTGACCCCGCTGCCCCAGGCCCGGCAACTAAATACGAATCGCCCCGCAGCCGCCGCGGAGGCCCCAACTACGCCGACCCTCGCGCCCCAAGCCAATGTGAGCGAGCCCCCGGCATGCTCCGGATCCCTCAGTAGACTGCAGGCGTGAACCAGGGACAGCCCAAGACAGACCCGGCCCCGGTGAAGTCGCGCTTCCAGGCTCTTAAAGACTATTATCCTGGGAGCCGAGGGGAAGCGCCACCGGCTTCCTATCCCGCTCGGGCGGCTCAGCCTATCGCTCCGGTCCCTTTTTCTGCCTGCCGTGCGGCGGCCCGAGTCGCCGATTCCTGAGCCGCCGCCCGCGCCACGTTCCCGGCGCCCTTGCAAGCCGATCCTCCGCCCCACTCAGCCCAGCCCCGGTCAGGGTCCCCAACCCAGTGTCCCGAGTCCCCACCCGCGCGCGGTTACCATGTAGGACGGGAAGCCGGCGGCGGCGGCGGCGGCAGCGTCGGCCGAGTACTGCAGCGGGCTGCCGAAGCCAGTGGCCGCCTGCGCCGTGAAGGCCGCCGAGCCCGGGTACGGGCTGAACGCCGAGCCGGACGCCGAGCGCGCCAGCTCCTCACTGCGAGGCGCGGCCAGCGCGGACGCACCGTACGCCGGGCAGGAGTAGAGCGCCAGCGAGCCGGGCGCTTGGTACAGGTAGCCCTGCGGGTAGGACATGGTGGGCGCGGGGCTCGCGGCCCGCGTCACGCCGAGCTGCGGGCAGGGCGCGCGGCGCCCTCCATCCACACCCGGCCCGGGCGCGGCGCGGCGGTGGACACCGGGGCCGCGGGCCGAGGCAGGCTGGTCGGGGCACTAGCCTGGCGGCCCGGGGGCCGGGGGAACGCGGGGCGGTAGTGGCGGCGGCGGCGGCAGCGCGAAACCGGTGGGCGCAGCCGCGCGCCGGGCCGGCGGTCGGGGTTTGGGGGAGTCTGGAGTCGGGAGTGAGGAGTTGAGGAAGGAGCGCTCGAGTTTCGGAGGGACATTGGAACGCGCAGCTGTCCGTCACGCCCTCATCTGCATATGCGGGTGCCCGCCCCTCCCCTGCTCCGCCCGCTCCAGCCTCCAGGCCTCGGCCGGGGGAGGGGCAGGGAGCAGAGAGGAGGGGAGGGCCGAGGAGAGGGAGGCGAACCGGCGGGAGGGACGCGCAGGCTTTTGTGGCGCAGCCGCTTCTCGCAGCTCCGGCCCCAGCCGGCCGCCCGCGGCCCTGCAGTGTCTCCAGGCCGGGCTGCGCGCCTCGGCGCACGCCCCCTCCCACTCGCGCATATTCTCGGCCACTTCCAGGCACCCTGATCCAGCCGCCTCCTCCACTTAGGCCAAGATACCTTCTACACCCCCCCTCGGGCCCGTCCAGCCGCTGCTTCGCCCCGATCGGCCCGCACCGTTTAGGCAAGAGACCGCCCGCAGTCGGGCCGGGCCGATTCTACTTGGGGAACTCACGGCGAGTGCACCTCTGGCCACCTCTGAAGAGGCGCCCCAGGTGACTGCACACCAGACTGCAGTGTCCAGCCCAGAGCCGCTGGGAGCTGGAGGGCAGGATGTGGGAACCTGCAATCCCAGTCCTCCCTGGGGTGGCGTGTGCGGCTCTCACTCCCACCTCCGTGGTCTGCACTGCCTCAAGGCCGAGGCGTCTGTGTGGCTTCGCTGCTGGCCGTCTGCCCTACGCTCCTGCGCCACCATCACCGCCTAGGTTTGGACATGCCCGGAGGGCACAGAGGTGAGCCTTCTGTCCTAAGTCCGCGGAGACGCCGGGCCCGGCGTGTTGGGACCTCCACGCTGGGAATTCGCGGGGCACGCGCCGCCAATACTTCGCCCTGAAAACGCCGCACCCCAAAAGAGTTTTATTTTGTTTTGTTTTAAAAGTTGATGCCTTCTTTGGAATTTGGGGGAGTCGATACTGGATGAACCGCCTCTGGCATAAGCCGAACCTCACTGCCATCTCAGGAAGGGACAAATGGGAGCCAGCTGGTGGCACAGCGCAGTTGGCGACAAGGTAGCCCTGGTGGCCTGCGGCTTTAGGGAGGTGCCTGGAGGGCCCGAAGGCTAGGCGGTCAGCGATGGCCTTGGGGAATTCAGCACCCGAAGTACCCCCATCCCTATTTCCCTGTCACGGTCTTTCACCCCTCCCTCACCCGGACTGGCAGAAGAGGGCGTCTGCCGACCAGGCCTGAGGGGTTACGGGTTACCAATGGGGGGCACTAGGCAGTTTCAAGAGGGGCCGGCTGTGCTGCCCGCGTGAGAGCCCACCAACAGGTGTCTCCTCCTTTGGAGCCACTTCGGTGGAGGGAAGGAGTATGGTGGCTGAGTCCTGGGCCTGAGCGCAGGCCTGCCGCTACGGCTGCCCACACAGAAAGCTCTGGGGCTGGCGGAGCGGCCTCTGCTGTCTCCTACTGCTCTGCGGGTCCGGGTCGAGGGTCGAGGCTACAGCTCTGATGCTTGGGTTCCTGGCTGCCAACCTGGTCCCGGAAGCATGAGGAACACTTAAGACAGCAGCGTTGTCTTTCCCTGTGTTCCAGGGAACCAGCTGCAAACTGCAGCGTTGGGCTAGACAGGACCAGCCGGCAAGCTGTCTGTCTTGGTAGGTGCAGTCTGAGTCTTCACCCCTCTCCTCAGCGCCCCCAGAGATATGTCCCCCACCGGTCTTTCCACCCACCATTCCCCACTTTGTCCCTCCCCTACAAACCACATGCCCACCCCTCTCTCCACACATCTTAACAGGCTGGTGCAGGGGCACACACTCCCCCTTCCACACACCCCAGGCTTGGCAAGGGTTCAGCAGTCGCACCTCAATATTGCTGTGACCTCAAGTGAGGCATCCTAATTCAGGTCAAGGGAAATACTTTCAATCAATTATTACAGGAGGGAGGGCAGCCAGGCGGACATGCTATCAAGGAATGTATGACATTTTTGGTCTTCCTGGGAGGGAGTTTCTCCCTAAATGAGATGCCCACATGTTGGACAAAAAACAGCCACAGATCAGATTGCAACCATTCCGGTTGGCTTCCAATCAGATTATGTTAAAAAATGATTCTAATTTTTATCACTGGGGATGACTTGCCTGGAGTATCTAGGTTTCTAAAGACTGGTTTCCTGCTGTGTTTTCATTAGCCTCAGGACTCATCCCCCTCCCCTTTTTTTGACCCCCGCCCCCCACCTGACCTCTGCCAGAGGCAGAAGAGAAAACAGCAAGTTACTGGGGGGGGGGGGAACAGCCAGTTTGGAGCAGGAGCATATGTGTAGAAGGATTCGATTTTGACATCAATTAAGTATATAACCAGACAAGTGCACGTGACTTTGGAGGGTCTCCTCTTACCAGAGCACATCCCGGAAGCCTGCTTACCTTCCCCTCTGGCTCGATGCTGCTGCTCTTGACAAGGCTGCTTTCCTTCCTGTGTATTTCCCCCCAGCAATTATGCTCCTCCACTGAAATCTAAATTTTCCATACTGCTGCCTGTTACTAATAACAACTGTCTACCTTGCACTATTAAACAGTCGAATCATACTACGTGCCATTTTTATTGGTGGTGACTGTAGCAAATTAAAATGCCTACGCAGGGACATTAACACTTACCTCCTCATTGTTATTAGGATATATAAACTGTTTGGAATAAAGCTCCCTGATTTTGAAAAATCACTTTCCCGCTTCTAGGTTAAAGTTGACTTAGGCTTCTTTAAAACAAACAAAACATCAATGAGTAAAATGCTGCAAGTGCCCAGGCTGGGTGCTGTGTCCCTTGCTATCTGTCGGCCCTTCCTGGCAGGACAGGTCCCTGGAGATCGGAGGCCACCAGGGGAGCAGGGGAGCAGAGGGATTCCTCCAGGGCCTTCTAGCCACCCCTCCACAAAACCGCCCTGGAAACTGCACTCGGGCCGGGAGTCGTGTTCAGACATGTGAGTGAGGTCGCCTGTAGATGAGCGGGCACTTGGCTCTGGCCGCCTTTCTGGCCTTCTCAGCTGGAATGGAAGAAAATGGCCAGGCACTGCAGGGAAATAGCAACCCAGAACGCAGGATCTAGTTCTCGGAGCGATCACCCAACAATGAGTAGTTTCATTTTGCTGTGGATCCTCCCTCTTTCCTCGAGTGTGCACTAAAACTTGGGGGGGGGGAGTTAACTGGATCATGTTTCTGTTTCTCTTCTGTCTCTACAGTGATCAAGGCATTTTGGACACGTCGGTGTGGATGTCCACGTTTCAGCGAGCCAGTTTTCCATGCGAGGCCAAGCGCTAAGAAGGGCCGGATACGAAGCCCCGGGTTTGAGGGTCTTCGGGGGAACGCTAAGGGCTTCCTAGGCCCAAGCCCTGGCCAGACCCTGTGGAATCCTGGGGCTCTGCGGGAGGCAGAGGAGGCGGCGACGTGGTTCCGGAGTCGCGCGGAGGGCGGCGAGGGGGCGCTGTGGCCCGCGACTGCGCGCCTTGGCTCAGCCGCAGTGGCCCCGGCGCTGCCCCAGCGCCACTGACGAGCAGCGTTAAGCCCCTGCTCCTGTCGCGACCTGCCTCTTCAGCACCGGTTTTATTCGGGAATTAAGGAAAACGATACAAGGGCATTTCAATAAAACTTACGCCGCGTGTACCATTTCTCATTGTTTTATTACTTTGGTTTTCTATAGAGTTTTCAAGAGTTTATGGATAAATAGCTACCATTTTGGTGTGTGTAATTTTGAGGTGCAATTTAAGATTAACACCCACATATTACATGTGTTCTGTTTAATGAAGAAACATTTAAAATGCAAATGGTTTCAATGTGTCAATGTATTTACTCATAACCCATGATCCTCTGCTCCAGGATTTCCTGGCGTGTGCCTGGAGGGAGAGACAACACGAAACAAAAAAAGAGGGAGAAGTATAGCTTTACAATTTCCTCTTTCTCTTTCTTCTCTTCTCTCTCTCCTCCTTCTACCCCTCCTTGGTCTTCTTCTTTTTCTTTTTTGAAATCTGAAATAACGTCGTTATAAACCGTGCAAAATCTAAGTTCAGATGCAACGTGGTTTTGTATCCAGCTTCAATTACAGCCCAAGCCTCCTGTGAGGATGTTCACTTGGATTTCGGATGCATCGGTATTCCTAGGTTTCCAAATGCGCGCTCATAGCTGAAGCGCTTCCCTGGCAAGGGAGCAAGGGGCAGAAATGCTGGGAGGTGAAAGATCCCCAGCGCCCCTGTCCCGAGGGCCAGCGGGGTCCCCTCCTGAAGAGATCTAAATGGCCTGAGAGGCCTGGATGGTCCCTGGGCAGCGCTGGAAGGGACTCCAGGCAGCCCCCAGGGTGCTGGGATGCCTGGATTCCAGGGCCAAAGGCAGGAGAAATTGCTTTTGTTTTGTTTTAGTTTGTTTCACCTCCTAAGCGCCCATATTCAGTTAAACTGCTTTCCTCACGGAGCTACCTTCTCTCCAGAGTACTGCGAGTTTCTCCGTTGCTAACCTGTCCCTCCCGGATTCTTTTAGCGGGCAGCCAAAGTCCCAGTTCTCGGGCAGATGCCCCGCCTCCGACGCGCTTCCTGAAGTTTCTCTGCTGCGCGGGGTCTGGAGAAGCCTCCTTTCCCCATTTCTTAGCGTCCGGCAGACTTGGTCCCTGCCCCAGTCTCCTCGCTGTTCTCACGCGTCCCCTCGTCCTCCGCTGTCCTGCCGTCCCCACCTCCCTCAACTCTGCAGCTGCCTTTCGGTTCCCGCACGACTCACCCGTCTGCGGGCCGGGGACCCAAGCCCCTCGTGGCGAGGCATCCGCGAGGCTCGAACTGAAGTCCCCCTGGCCTCGCTGGCCGCTGGCTGCTGTGACGCCAGGTCTTTGGCTGCGCTCGCGCCGCGCGCCCCGGAAGCGGCTCGGGCCGGGTGGGATCCCAGCGCCCGCAGCCTGGAACGCCAATAAAGGCAGGCGAAGGGTCACTTCTTGGACATGGCAGACCCGAGTTCCTCCAAGGCATCAGAATTCAAGGAGGCGCGTTTCGGGAGCAGCGAAGGCCCGGCTTTAGTTCTTCATGGGGCCTTGTTTGAAGGCTAAGCGGCTGGGACAGACGCCTCCGCCAGGCTCACCTTGACACTCAGAGCAGGCCCGCAGCCGGCGCTTGCAGACGCGGGTACCCGGCACGCACCGCCATTCAGGAGGCGAGCACGGCTCGCCAAAGCTGCCCTGGGCAAGGGGAGTTGTCAAGATTTTGTTTTGTTTTCTTAAAGTGTTTCTTCCAGACAGGCTGCAGAAGAAGTTAGCTCCCAGTCCCCTCCAGCCGCTCCCGGCGGCGGCTGGGCATTCCTCGGAGCAGACACCAGAGCGCACCTCCGTGCTGGCCGTGCTGGGCGCAGGCCGGGAGCGCCCCGAGGCTGAGGCGACAGCAGAGGTCAACTCAACTGGCCTGAGGAGGTAGGAGTCCTCTCCTCTCGGGAAGGAGAATATCGGAGGAGGGGGAAGATTCCCTTGAGTCTTCTTACAGTACTGTTACACAGTAGTCAAGGCCCTACAGAGCGTTTGTCCGGGGCCTGTTAATGTCCCTTTGCCACCTCTCAGTTGGGTTGTGTACCCTGAACCTATTCGCTGGGATCTGGAATCCCGAGGCTGTGGTCGTGCACATTCTCACTCTTCTGCCCAAATCTCCTGCACACTCTTACACATTTGGGATTGTGCAGGCAGGGGCGGGGAGGATTATTTTCTTTTCTTCTTAAAAGACTCAGGGAATGCAAAAGTGGATATATTTGCATGAAAAGTGAAAACTTCAGTAAGACTAAACAACACTAACACTGAGGGAAGAAGGAGGAAAGTGATTGTAACAAAATGAGAGGTTGCCATGCAGAATCAGGACCTCAGCGTCAATGGTGAAAGCAAGGCCCCGATGGAAAATGGGCCGGGGTCGGGAAGGGACCCTTCTCTCTGAGGGATCTGCAAAGGTGCTGCATTCACTAGAACTTCCACCGAGGCCCACCAGACTAGGACAGGGAACTGGAACTCTGCAGGCTGCCCTGGGTGAAATTGCTGCAGAGAAGTTAGGGAGGCTTTGGCTCAGACATCAAAGAACAGGAGGTGTGAGCCCCCTGCCACCCAGTTCTTAGTCTTACAGTCCACTGCTGAGAAAAATGTCACTTATTTGCTGGGAAGAGGAGGATGAGATGATCTTGAGGTGTTGTTTGCAGTAGCCTAAGACTTCAAACCTCCTTCCTGGCAATCCTGGAGGCCTGGGTAAAGGGTTAGAGGTATACTTTATGGAGCTGAATATTTGCCAGGGTCCAAGGGAATTAAATCCCTCATATCAACATAAATAAACCCCAAAAGTAGAAATCTAGGGGACAGAGGATACAATCAAGATGATACTGATGATGGAATTTAAAAACAAAAGCAATATTTTGTGTTTTCCGGAACAGTGTGGGCGGAGGCTCTAGAAGGAGAGTCTCTGTCCCATTTCAGATGCTAGATACCTTTGAATAAGGGATGGGGACTTCAGCTCTGTTAGCAATATCCTGTTTCTCAAAAATGTATCTGAAGTAAGTATTGCAAAATGTTAACAATTATGAACTTGAAATAACAGTTGAATGAGATTCTCCTGTGAGCTAGTTTAAGTTTATTTTTTGGAAATGAAATTTAAAACAAAGCACCAGTCTTTAAAAGAAGCATCATGCTCCTAGAAGTATAATGCGCTCATTTTGGAATAATTTACTTTAAAAAATCACTTTCTTAAAAATTGTCATTCTTCATCTCTTTTCTGCATTTCTCCACCATTAAGAAGGAAGAAATAAAAGATGTCTTGGGTTTGCAGTTTAAATTTAAACTGATAGTCATTTGCATGTGTGTCTTTGCCACTGTGCCAGGCACCATAGGGAGACAGGTGTCCTGGGCAGAATGCTCTCCTTATGGAAGCCCAGGGCCTGGCCCTTCCTCTGCTGAGGGCAGTGCACACCAGGGGCTCTTGAGGTTAGGGACCCTGCTGGATGCAGCATGACTGCAAACAGGTCACATGTACATCTCTGTGGGAAGTGGCACTTTCACCTTTACACAGTTCTCTTCCTATCACAGTGTACCAGGGAGCATAGTTTAGAAAATTCAAGTCAAGATTAGAGAAAGGAGCTTCAGGAGATCAGGAAGATGGGTAAAAGCTGGAGAAGGGCAGAGCAAAAGACTGGGAAGGAAAAGATTAGAGAGGCCAGAGAGGGAGAAGGGTTGGGCCTTGCCTGCTCCAGGTCACCAAGGCCCCTCCCCTCCCATCCCTCCTCTCCAGGCAGGAACTCAGTTCCTTTTGGGTCCTGCACTTCTTCCAGAAACAACCCACTCTGACCTAACTAACTGTCTTTCCTGCAGAGAGAGGACCGGAGCTTTGCAAATGCAATCCTGCTTAAAGGCCCTCACAGTGGGAGACACCTTAGGGCCTGGCCCTGGTCTCTAATTTCCAGGTCTTTCTGTTTCCATTTTGTTCCTAAGGAGGTAGGTGGGAGAGTGTTACTCCCTGGAGCCAACAGTTTACTAGGGCTTCCCTAGGCTCACAGCTTTGAAGCCCTTCAGAGCCTGGGCAACCATCAGTTCTGGGCCTGCTGCCTCCTGCACTCTGCCCTGGGAGCCTGGCCACTAACTCACCCTTCTGCCTGTAGCTGAGTTCTCTCCCATGTTTGTGCCTCCGCAGGCCTCAGCCTCCTGTAAGACGCTTTGTCCTGGGAGTCCCCTTGAGGCACTGTGGCAGCCACTCCTGGCGCTGCTGGTTTTCTAGTATGCCGGCTTCGTCACAGTGTCCCTTTACCCCTGCCTCCATGCCTGGCCTGATGGGGGCACTAGACAAACATTAAGTGTATAAATGCATGAATGAATAAAGGAAGAGCTCTTGGCTGCTCACCTTTACCTCTAAAAGGCACAGCAGAGGTTGCAGAAGAGAAGCAGCAACGATGTGGACACTGGCTCACAGACCCGCTTCTTTACCCAAGGGGAGGCTTCCCTATACCTGGTCAATGTGAACACACATAATTCAGCCCAGATGTGTCCCTGCTCAGCACTCCGACTCCAAGTATAAATCAAGATTGACTTCGGATGTTAAGTTTTAAAACCCAATAGATATGTACATTTGAAATAACATTTCATTTTAAAGACAAATTCCTCAGTTAGCACCAAATCCCAAACCTTGCATTCATTGAGGAGAGTAAGCATGCATTTTGATTTTTTCTTCCAAATGATCTATATGGTTGAGTGAATGAATGAGTGCAGGTTAACATTTAGGAAAAATGAAACTTAAATAAAAGCAACTGAAATTTGAGGATACTTTTAGTAAATAATTTGGAGTTGAATTGAGTTATAGATATTATATTTAAAAAGTAATTTAGGCCTTGGCAAGATTTTCAGAGATGTACACAAAATTATTCTAAAGTAGGTATGGTAAAGTGTAGACCTTACCAAAGGTAAAACAATTTTTTAAAGCCGATTAGAGTAGGAGCAATCAATCTAAGTGATTTTAAGACATTGTGTGGCTATAGAAATGGAGAGGGGTGTTGTGGAAGGAGGGAGAGACACTCAGGTCAGTGGAGCAGTGCAGGGGCCCAGTGACAACCCATGCAGATGCACCCCATTGATCTTTTGACAAAGATGCAAAAGCAATTTGTGGGAGGAAATTTAGCCTTTTCAACAATAGAGCTAGAGCAATTGGAGACCCACTAACAGGGGAAAACATCTCCATCAACGTCTCACACCTTATGGATTTAGATTTAACTAGAAAGTGGAAGATTATAAAACTTTAAAAAAAATAAGAGAAACTCTTCAGGACCTACAGCTAGGCAAAGAGTACTTACGAGAGATGCAAAAAACAAACAAACAAACAAACAAAAAACCAAAAACAAACAAAAAAACCCACACAGTTCATAAAAGCCAAATCTTGAATAGCTGGACTTCATTTGAATTTAAAATGTTTTGCTATGAAAATGACTCTAAGAATACAACATGATGTGTTACAGACTCAGGAAAAGAATCGCAAATCACGTGTCACACAAAGAACTAGTATTTAGAATATATAAAGAACACCCACCACTCAACAGTAGGCTAAACACCAAAGACCCAAAAAGCACAATTCAATCAGAATTGGGGGAAAAGACATGAAGACATTCCATCAGAGAGAATATAGAGATGGGGAACCTCACGTTTCAAGAGAAGCCAGCTGAAAGCACAGGACACAATCCCATCAATCAGAATGTCCAGAGTGAGCACCGTGGCAGCACCACAGGCGGTGAGACACAGAGGAGCGAGTGCCAGATGGTTCTGATAAAACAGAAGGACTACTCTCACCGGTTCAGCAAGTGTTTTCCTGGGCACTGGTCCAGAGACGTAGAAACTGTGTTCACTCAAAAGCCTTGCACTGATGGGCACACAAACTTTACTTATGGTAGATGAAAACCGGAATCAACCCAGGTGTCCTTTAGTGGGTGAATGACTCAGTGGACTGTGAGGAAGTCTTGGTGGACTATTGCTCAGCTACAGGAGGACTGAGTTATTGGTGTCCAGCCCCATGTGTGGCGCTCCATAGTCAGGCAGGGCAACAAGACAGTCCCCAGGATTACAGATGGAGTGATTCTACTTGCAGAGCATAGCGGAAATGACAAAACTTTGGAAGTGAAGAAGATTTGGGGGTTGCGGGGGTTTAGGGAGGACATGGAGAGTCGGGCTTGGCTCGGGAAGTGGGTGTGTTTGTAAAGGAGCAGCAGAAGGGATCCCTGAGGATGGGCGGGTTTGGGATCTGTGCAAATAAGAGAGTGAACACTTTGATGAACCGAGCACGCTTAGGAGAGCCAGTGACACTGGTGCCGTCTGTGTGGTGTGAGGCTGAGTCCCAGGGCACATCCTGGTTGTAATGTGGCACCAGAGTGTCCAAAGTGTTTGCAGTAGGGGAAACTGGTAAGGCGTGTGTGAGATTCCTCACAGCAGCATGTGGGTCTCTTTCAATAAAAAAATTCAACCAAAAAAGAACAGAAACACAAAATAAATAAGTTAGTGAATGAGGTGAACAATTTTTAAAAAGTAGACGTGTAGAAAGGCAGGTCACACTGTTCAAAGTGTGTGACTTGGTTTTCGGAAAACATGGTGTATTCCAGAGCGAGTTAGTATCATTTTGGGGGAGAGGCTCAGGAAGAAGCCAGGAGGGCAGCAGCCCCACCCTGGGATCTGGGGTGGTAGGTGTAAGGTCCTTGCTTAGCATCTGGATGGACATCTTAAGTGACAGCCACCATTTTAAGGAAAAATTTCGCTTTCCCACCCAAAGGAAAAGACTCACTTTTTTCTTGGAGAAAAGGTTTCAGAGAAAGACTCATCACTCCCTCACACCACCCAACCCCAATGGCCCCCATTAGGGCCCTCCTGGCTTGGATTCCCGAGCCTGCCACACCCAAGTCTGTAGGCCCTCTCCACTATAGAGAGGTGGCCTTAATTTGTCAGCTCTGACAAATAAACTCTCCTTCGCATCTCTGCCTGGTCTCTGACTTTCATTTCTCACTTTCCCTTCAGCAGGAAGCTCTAGAGAAGTCAAAGAGGGGGACCCAGGAGCCAGCCAGGGAGGCCTTGGGCCCTGCAGCACTGCAGCCTGAGTGCTCCAGTCCTGCGCGTGAAAGGGGTCCTGGGAAGGCCTCGGTAGGAGTGGAATAGCCTGGTTTGCCCTGTGAAAGGGGTTTATTTACATGCCAGGCCACCCATCCACTTCCATGTTGGCACACTCACAGCCCTTGGCCCATCACCACCACCTGATTTTGAAGTCCCTCTCCTTGAGTGACACTTGCACTGAGTGACCTCTGCATCCTCCTGTCCGCTGGCTTCTTCCCTGAGCGGCCCCTGCCGAGTGTCCTTGAGTGCAGGTTCTTCACCATAGGCAGGAGTGGATGGGACCAGCTGCAGGCGGCCAGTCCAAGCAGGCCCGTCAGGGCAGTGCCATCGCTGCGGCAGTGAGAGGGACCAGCTCACTCATTCTCAGTGCTTCGGCTTTGTGGGAAGTGGGTTCTGGTGTAGGTAGAGAGAGGGGAGCCCGCAGGACACTGGTCCATCCTCCAGCTGTGAGCTGGAGAGGAGGAGGGGAGGCAGAGAGGAAGACTAGGGAGGAAGGGAAGAGGAAGGGCACTTTCAGAGGTCTTCACAGTGAAACTGTGTCCAGCTGCACATTTCTAACTAATGCATACGCACACTTAGTGAAGGTTACGATGGATGAGTACTTCCAAAGGAACAAAATGTCAATCCTTTTCCTCACAGTGCAGCCTGCCCATCACTGTGACCATGATCTTTGCAAAAGAGAAGGAGTTCCTGCAGGAGGCCCCCAGGGTGGACACAGGAGAGCAACTCTCCAGCCCTCCTCTGGGGAATGGGCTTAGGGATAATGATGGGGTAAAGAAGGTGAATGGGGAGCTATAAAGGAAGGGTTCTTGCTGGGAGTGCCTAATAATAACATCACAAAGGACTCAGGATGCAAGTTTGTCCTGAGTTAATTTGAGCCTCATCTCATAGACTTACAAATCTTCCTAACTTCCTACATTGATAAACTTGATCCGTTTTCCACTGATATGATTATGAATTACTGTCTTCATGGATTTTGGAGACTGATTGAAAAACTAATGGCTTTGGTGCTAATTGTTTACAAAGAAGTGATGTTTTGCTGTCTCATGTATTGTTGTCTTAGCATACCCCCTGCCCTGTCCAGTCACCTGCCTTCTGGCACTGTGGACCTCTGGACTGCTCTGATGCTGAATGCCCTTAACTGTCCATGCCCCACCTGATAGAGAACAAGGACTTTGGGTTACTTCCCCCAACTTCAACCCCTTTCAGCAGGAAGCAGCTTGGAGATGTTATTACCCATTTTTTTTTTTTTCATACAGATGGGATATAGAAATTGACATGGGGGAAATGTAACAGTGTCCACTTTATGCTCTGTGTTTCTCCTTGGCTAGCAAAATAATAAACTTTCCTTTCCTGTTTTCTCAGAGAGAAAAAAAAAAGAAGGTGATTAGAGGTGAAGTAACCTGTGGTTTGTGCCCATGTGCAAATCTGCATGGCTGCTCATAGGACGCATGTTTACAAAATGGAGGTGTTACCATGACCCAAGGGTGGCACCACAGGACACCTGCACAAGCCCCAGAGCACAGTGGGTGGCTTCAGGCACAGCTACTTTCAGGTCTCTCACAAGGAAGCCAGGCAAGCGCTGTCATCCTGACCTGTAGCTCAGAGAGACCAACAGGGACGCTGACACTATCGCTCAGCTGTGTGGCCTCCAGAATTAGGGATTTTTAAAGTGGTTTTCTTTCTTTTTTCTTAGAACTTTACAGTCATACACGGTAGCTGGGTCCATCCCAGAAGAAGCCGACATCAAGGAGTCAACACGCTCCCTCTCAGGCCTGGTCCTCCTTGTTCCCCCATTATCCATCCTCGATGGCGCTCCTACACACACTGAAGGTAGGTTCCCTGTGGGTCACAACGAGGTTCTGTTAAATTCCTTCTGATCTCCTCCCCTTCCGGTCCCTCCTCCCTCCCTCTTGATTTCTTCCTCCCGCTTCCACACTGCTTGTCCCTGCATCTTTATGACATTTGACCTCCCTGCCTTCTTCCCCTCGTTTTGCTCTGGCATGAGAGAAAACGTCTGACCTTTGATTTTCTGACCCTTCCTTTTTTAGTTTGCACCACGTTCTCCAGCTCCATGTGTTTCCTGGCCAATGCCATCATTTTATTCTTCTTTTTGACTGAGTAAGACTCCACTGTGTGTGTACCACATTTATGTGATGCATTCATCTATCGACAGGCTTCTGGACTGATTCCACCACTTGGTCATTGTGAGTTGTGGTGCTGCAGACACTGGTTTGCATGTCCCGTTATGGTATGTTGATTTTAGGTCTGGTGGATGATACAGGGAGTAGGGTAGTTGGCTCATATGGTGGTTCCATTCCTAATTTTTTGAGGACTCTCCATATTGCTTTGCAGAGTGGTTGTGCTAATTTACAGTCTCACCAACGGTGGATAAGGGCACTTTCCCCCCACATTCTTGCCAGTAATCATTATCATTTGTATTCTTGATAATTACCACAGAATTAGTGATTTCTAATGTCAACTCAAGCAAGTGTCCCTCAGGTTCAGAAACGAATTCCTGGCTCCTGTGTGGGCCACTCAGAACCCTATTTCTTGGAGGCAATTTTTGTAGTCATTTTGAGTTTCCTCGTTTTTCCAACTGCACTCTCACCACTGCCTTTGTTGACCTCCTCTGTTTCTGGCATCCATTACTCATATTGACTTGCCATGTTGGAAGAGAAGGGCGGACTGGAGTGGCCTGGGGCTGCTGGATCCACAGACCCAGCTCATCAGTAGTCTTCCCCAGAAACCCTCCTGGAAGCTCCCGTGGAGTCCTTTCTAACTGGGCATCTGAGAACCACAGCAGCAGGGCCCATGGCTGTGGCTGGTGGTGGTGGCCCCTCCCCCCTTGATTCACCTGGGGTGCTCTTTATACTTCTGTGTTTTCTAATTATGCAAAAAGCTTTGGAAGCAGCAAGGCCCATTTTCTGGATTTGGCTGTTGAAGCCAGGGAGACTGGAGTTCTGCACGGGAGGTCTTGGATTTGTGAGGGAACATCTTCATGAGGGAGACGGCGGCTGCCAGATGCATGGGGACACAGCAAGCAGGCACTGTCAAAGCAAGGGCAGTGCTCTGTGCCATACTCCTAGCATCCGCGTGAGAGCCTGCAGCCTCGCCACAGTGTGACGAGTGGAGACTGCTTGCAGGAGCAGGCATGCACCTGCACAGGGGTGAGAAGGAGCATCTCCTGTGGGGCTTGGTTTGTGGTGGTGGTTTGTTCTCTAGGACCTCACTGTGTTGCCTAGGCTGGTCGTGAGCTCTGGGCTCAAGAAGCCCCCCTCCTGCCTCAACCTCCCCTGTAGCTGGGATCACAGGCACTTGTGCCGCCGCCTCTGGCTGGCTCTCGCTATGGTGTTTTAACAGTCTATTGAGGAAATCATTTGCACACACACACTCATGGATCACAAGCATGCAGAGTGAGGAGATCTGGTGTCCACCATGCAGCTGAGCTTTAGAGCAAGTCTTCATCACCAGACGTGTTCTCAGCTCCCTGCCGTGGGATCCTGCGCCTCCTGGGGTGGCATCTGCTGGACATGGGCACCTGTCCTAGCCGTCAGGCAGAAGCATCACATAGTGGACTGTCTGGCTGACTTGAGAGACCCTGGTGACTTTGAGATTGCCCCGTGCTGTTGCTGAGCTGGCTCCCCACTTTTTGCAGGTGGTGGCAATCCACTGTGTAGCTGCCCTGTGTTAAATATATCCTTTCACTGATTGATGCACTTTTGTTGATTTCCATTTTTAAGGCTATTTTAAAAGAAAAGTGACATTGGCCATTGATGGGCAAGTCTGTTTGACAGATTCTCACTTATCTTGGGTAGATTCCCTAGGACTGGAATTACCAGGTTAGAAGGTAAGTGTGTACTTGACTTTTTTTTCTTTTCTCTCTGTTTTTTTTTTTTTTTTTTGTTGTTGTTGTTGTTCTGGAATGGAACCCAGGGTGCCTCACCCTGACCTACACCTCTAGCCCTTTTTATTTTTTATTTTGAGTCAGAGTGTCACTAATTCGCTGGGGCTGGCCTCCAATTTGCAATCCTCCTGCTTCAGACTCCTGAGTCTCTGGGATCACAGGCCTGTGCCACCGTGCCTGGCTATATTTAACTTTTAAAGAGGTTGTCAAACTGTTTCCCAAGTGGCTGTCCTAGCCTGAGTCTTTCCCAGCTCCACGTGAGAGATCTAGTGGCTGCAGACCCTGGCCAAGAGTTGGCGTGGCCAGATGGTCAGCTTTGCCCTTCTGGGGTTACGAAGTGTTCTAACTGTGCTTCCTTAGATCTAAATCCATCCCTCCTCCACTCGCCCTGTGGTCAACTAGATCAGCTGTTTTTTTCCCCCTATTTCTGTATTCTTGAAGTTCTGGTGCCCAAGGCCCTACTTACCTGGGGAGAGACTGCCTTTCCCAAGCCTCTGTGTTTGTTAGAAATAGCAGTGGGCTCAGCTGGCGGGTCACTTAGATTTTCATCACCATCACCAAAGTACCCAGGAAGAACAAGAGAAGCTAAAGTTTATTTTGGGCTCATGGTTACAGAGTTTCCATCTGTGACTGGTTGACTCCATTGCTCTGGGGCTGAGAGGTGATTTAGAACATCATGGCGGAAGGGTGAGGCCAGGGAAATGGTTCAACTGGTGGTGGCTGGAGGCAGGGAGAGCCGGAGAAGTCAGAGGGACAAAACACGGTCCCCTGAGTGCCCGCCCAAGTGACCTCTTCCCCCAGGCAGCTGTCTGCCCACCCTGGCCACCCAGTGCAGAGGTCCTTTCAAGTTGTCACTCCATCAGGGGGATGGGGCATCCCGTCAGCAGGTCACAACAGCACTCACCTCACCTCCTCATTAACACAGAGCTTTGGGGCACCTCAGACCCAAACCAGAGCAGCTGGGAATGGCATTCACCTGCCGAGTCGTCAGTCTCCAGTCTAGGCCCCCGCCACGGCCTCACCAACTCCCCCACCAAGCCCCTGACCCACCTGCCCAAACCATCACGGTTCAGGGCTCCCAGCTGCCAGCCCAGAGCAGGAAGGAATTAGTCCAAGGAGGCCAGGCCGGGCCGGCTTCCGTGCCTCTGCCATTCCTACGGAAACCTAGGAAAGGCTCCGGCCACTGCATTCCTTCCCTGCTCCTTCTGCCCCTAACTGGCCCTGGGCTTCACTGGGGGCTGCGTACCTTTGCAAGCCCTTTCTCCAGAGAAATATAAGCAATAAAAGTCTCCTCAAGAACCCAGGCCTCTCTGTGTGGCTCTCAGCCCCTCTGCACATTGAAACCCTGCGGGCACATTTGGGAGCAAGTAGGAATCTCACTGTGATTTAGTGTGGATTTTCTCTCTCTGTGCTCCTTGGCCACCCCCGTCTGCTTGTGTGAAATCTCTGCTCAACTCTTTTGGCCATTTGAAACATTGGGTTGCTTTTTTCCCTAATTAATCCCTTATAGGAGTTTTGAAATATTATGGCCATAATCGTTTTCAGAAATATGCTTTTCAAAGATGTTCTCCCAGTCTGTGTTTGGTTCATCTTTCAAATTTACCAACGGAGCATTCAACAAGCAGAACTTTCAGTGTTGGTGATCTTTAGCTTACTACCCTTACTCTCTTGCTGTGTGGATATGTGTGGATATGCGTGCATGTGCACATATATGTACCTGTGTACCGTGTATACATGTGTGTACACATACATCTGTGTTTATGCCTGTGTGTATGTGAATATGCATGTATACACATGTGGGTGTTCTGTTTAGAGGAGATTTGCTTAATTCAAAACCACAGATATAGTGGCCTGTGTAATTTTTGGAAGTTGTTAGGATTTCATTATCCAATGAGGCCCCTTACGATTCATTTTGGAGTATTTTGTTTATGGTGTGTGGTAAGGATCAAGATTTATGTTTTCCCCACACTTTTAATTTTCTTTCATGATATTGTTTTGGAAATTTTAAGCCTTTGCACTACATGTAATTTTAATTAGCTTTCCCATTTCTGCAAAACACTTGCCAAAATTCAAATGAAAGTTAATTGACAATCCAGATCAATTGTGGAGAATTATTTTCTTAAAAATATTGGCTCATTCAATCCATAACTATTACATGTCTTTTCTTTTACTGAGTTTTTAAAAAATTTCTCTCAGGAATGTTTTGTGGTTTTTACTGTACAGATTTTTTTTTAATTTATTTGCTTTAATTAGTACACATGACACTAGAATGTATTCATGCACTTTCACATATCATATAGATATACACTCTCATTTTTCTGAGTGTACATGTTGCAGAGTCATATTGGTCATACAGTCACATATACACATACAATAATAATGTCTGTTTCATTCTACTGTCTTTCCTATCCCCACATCCCCTCCCCTCCCCTCTTATCACTTCCCTCTACCTAATCTAAGGTAATACTATTCTTCCCTAGTGCCCCCTGCCTTATTGTGAGTTAGCATCCACATATTAGAGAAGACATTCAGCCTTTGGTTTTGTGGAATTGGCTTAGTTCACTTAGTATGATATTCTCCAACTCCAACCATTTACTGGCAAATGCCATAATTTCTCTCTTCTTTAAAGCTGATTAATATTCCATTGTGTATATCTACCATATTTTCTTTATCCATTCCTCTGTTGAAGGGACATCTAGGTTGGTTCCATAGTCTAGCTATTGTGAATTGAGCTGCTATAGACATTGATGTGGCTGTGTCACTGTAGTATGCTGATTTTAAGTCCTTTTGGTAAAAAGCAAGGAGTGGGATAGCTGGGTCAGATTTTGAACACACTTTTTAAAGCTATTCCTCAGCATTTTATACAATTATTTACCCATTGCCATTTACCACTGGAAATGCATTTTTGCAATGTATTTTCAAATTGCTTATTGTAAATATATAGAAGTACAAATGATTTTTTTCCTGTATTTGGGCCTTGTGTTCTGCAATATTGCTAACTGTGATTATTAATTATAGTAGCTTTTCTGCAGATTTGAAAAAAGTCTACATTAATGGTTCTAACGTGTGTGAATGAAGGATTTCCCCCCCTTTCCAACCAGTTCTCTTCCATGGCCCTGTGTACCTTTGTGGCTCCAGCTGGGGGCTTCCCCAGGGGCCCGGGTCTCCTCCACACCTGGTTGAGAAGTCCAGCCTTCTTCATGACAGTGGACACTGGCTGCGAGGTCTTAAAGGTGCCTTAATGAGCTTGAGGAGGTTTTCCTCCATTTTTAGTTGCTAGAAGCTTTTATCAAAAATGGGAGCTTTGCTTCTCGGGGGAATTATTTTTCTTTATCTACTAAGATAAACATATTTTTTTTCTGTTTAAATCTATTAACACAATGTGTTCCATTAATTGATTTTCAAATGCAAAACTAACGAAGCATTACTGGGATTACTCCTCTTAGTTGTGACTGAATTATCATTTTACAGGCCAGTATCTTTCATGAACGTAGGAACAAAAATTCTGAAATATATGAGTAAAACAAGCTCATTAATACATCAAAGGATAACACAGAGTGTACAAGACGGTTTATTGAAGGAATTTGGAAAGGCAACCATTGTAATTCACCATATTAATAGAGAGGAGAAAAATTTCAATTGATGCTGAAAAAAATTTTAGTGAAATTCAAAATTTCTTCCCTGAAAACATTCAGAAAATAATAGACAAAAAAAAAAAGAGGCATTTCTCAAGCTGCTGTGGGACAGTAAGAAGATTTTTAGAGCTGACACCATCATCAATATGAGATAGGGAATGTTTTGCAGCTTGGACACAAGGCATGTATGTCTACCGTATCCGACTTTGAACTGGGGCCTTTGTATAATAAGGCAACAAGCCCATGAACAAGCAAACCAGACAGAGGTGGGAAAGGTTTCTTGGAGAACATGACTGTCTTTGAAAAATCCAAAGGACTCTACAGAATGTCTACTTAGAACTGATATTCATAGTTACCGTGGTTATAGGGTACAAAGTTCATATTTGAAAAAAATCAGTTATCTTCCTACAAAAATGACAACAAGTAGTAGGGGCATTTACCATTGTTGAAGTATCAGACTAAAATGGATAAATTAAATCAAATACAGTTCATGAAAACCAAATGGAATGAACTAAAATTGCATTCCATGCATACACAACTTTGTCAAGAAGAACCCAACTTATATGTGCAATTATAATGCTCTAGTAAAAAAATAAAATTAAATTAAATTGAAAAAATGTAGGTTCTGACTTGATAGTTTCAGGGTGGAGCTTGAGATTATACTTTTCTAAACAAAGAGGCGGAGGATGCTGGGCCATGGACCACATTTTGAGTAAAAGCCTTAGAAGAAACACAACCACCCCAGGGAAAGCGGCAGAACACTGCAGGGTGATCACAGGAGGCGAAGGACCCCATAAGACACCACATGAGTCGCTGTATTGAGGAAATGCCCATTCTGCCCAAATTCAATGCCAATCAAAGGGCCGATTAGCCTTTTTTGTACAAACTGATAAATTGATTCTAAATTGCATGTGGCATTGTATAAGACTAAAATAGTCAAAACTTTGAACAAGAAGCGCCAACCTAGAGAGTGTATGACTTGGGTTCTTGCCTTGCTATGAAGGTGCATGATCAACCCAATCTCATAGGAGGGAAAGGTAGACTCAGAACCCAGCAGAGCAGTGGGAGCCCCGGAGGAGACCCAGATGTGAGCCGTGAAACTGACACTGATGCCTCCGTCCCCAGATAACTCCATATCCATGGGCAGGAAGCACACCCATCATGTGCCATCTC